CACCTACGACTCCAAGGCCAAAAAGCTCTACGTGTTGGGTACGGCTCCAGCCCATCGCTGCAGTAGTTGTGGAGCGGCTGATCATTCACGGACCAAAGCTGAGCGTTTCGCAAAGCTTACAATCAGCTGTATAACATCATAAAGCTCGCCATTTGGCTGCTTGGTTAATGTGAAGGGTAAATTTTTGGGACAACCACATCTAGTTACGCTTCCGGTGACAGTATCCGCACCTAAACCTTAAGTGATGAAATTCTTTTTGTATGGGACCTGACAGATGTTGAAGGACGAGGACTACGCTCGAGTTCTTCTTACAGGCAGAACCCGCCTTTAGAATGTGTTTGGGGCGAACAGTCGACGTCCCACGCCCACTGGCTCATTCAGCGACTGGGAATAATTGCCTAGTGCTTACCTTTGTACCACTCTCTTATCCCCTTCCTAACCCCATCCCAAAACCATGGGAGATGCCAATACCACTAGTAGGAGGTACACCTCACTTCTTCTCCTCACTTTTTTCAAAACGAGAATCGCATTCATAAAGCTACGAATAAGCAATGAGTGTTCAGTGGCCGCTGATGGATCGTTGTATCCGACACCAGCACTGGGTTATGCACGAGTTCCGTTACCACAAGTACCGCAACTACCGCAAATACCGCAAGTACCGCAATATGGCACGGTACCGTACGCGCCCGCGAGGAGGAATCCACTTCTGGGAGCGCAATTCATGAAGCCGATCAATGTCCCCATAACACAGACGGTGAGTCATGGAAATTTCTTGAGTGCTGCTTTTTAAGAATCGATTCATCACGAAATTTCCGAGATCGAAGAACTTGAGCCTTCCATATGATCGTAAGAGTTCCACAAGAGCGGACGCGAGCGCTTGCGTAGCGGTGCCGCCACAGTAGAAGTTACATTATTCTACTTTTTCGACGTTCTTTTAAGCAGCAAACACGGGTGTGACTGAAACGGAAACGACGCGATACGGACGATAGAAAAGTGCAGTGCCGCAACGCGACCGCCCGCGAACTCAAGCAACGCCCATTTGTGGCGGGAGAACAACGTGGCGGTTGTGAAAAATATCACATAGAAAATTTATTTCAGAGTCTGAAGTGCCAAAAATGCAACTGCTGCGCTCTTCTGGCTTCTGGTTTTAGTATTACTGGTGGATACCCACCTATTGGCGGAATTGGTCCAAATGGCAAAATTGGCCCTCTTGGGCCCATATACCCCAGACCTGGCAGCAAACATCGTGAGTTTTAAATGGTATTGGTTATAATTAATGGAATAATTCCTACCGGCCGTTATCAGTAACTAGTAACAAAATTCTTATCAACAGTGATAGCATATCGCTCATATGATGGGCGCGGCAAATGGGCGGCGACAAAATTACTCCCTAAGAATTAATTTTGAGGATGTAATCAGAAAAACGGTAGAAGTGGCGTAGCTGAAGTGATGAGCCGCTATTCGGGAAGCCGAGATTACCCAGACTCGAAAAAATCTTCGTTAAGATATTTCGTAGATACATGCCTGAGAGGATGGAAGCACCAAAAGTTTACCCTCGGGTGCTGCCTCCAGCTCATTGTTTGGTGGGAGGGGCATGTGCGAATACAAGGTATAATACTAAATGGAAACCAAATGGCACTCCCCCCCGGCCGGGTTTTTCTCTCTAATGATTTCAGTTATTTTTCGCCAAAGACAGGCCGCGCAACTGCGCGCGTCCCAACGTGATGTTTTTCTTGAGATAAAAGCAGGCAATTACAGAATATTTACTTGTTGCTAGCGAAAATACTGCAAGAAATATGAAGCAGTTGTTTCTCATTTCAGTCTGCTGTGAATGTGGAGAATGCCCGGGCAGACCAGTCAACGGTTTCCCACCTCCTTCAGCACTCCCACTACACCAGCTTCCCCACCACACCGCCACCAGCGTCCACGCTTTGACCGCTAAGCCTCCGTTTTCAACCACCACCACCACAGCCTCACCCCCATTCGTTAGTCAGGCCTCCAGGATTACAACCGCCCAATCGATGTGCCTGGGTTCCCGCCCAGCAGTCGAGGCCGCCGTCTTGCCTCCTGGCCGTTTTCACCGATGCCTTCACCTCCGCCAATTGTACAACCACTTGGCCCACCATCACCGGTCCTTCCGCCTCTACCTGTACCGCCGCCACCAGTGGTTCCACCTGTAGGACCTCCGGCTCAAATCATTCCGCCAATCCCTCCATCGCCGTTGGTCCCACCTGTTGGACCTCCCTCACCTGTGATTCCGCCAGTGCCTTCTCCGCCAATACGTCCCTCCTGTTGCACCCCCCGCACCGATCATTCCTTCAGTTCCACCGCCGTCTCCAGTCCTACCCTTAGGACCTCATCCAGTGACACCACCGGTGTCTCCTCCGATTCCCCTTATCCCCACCTGGCGACTCCTATACCACCTCAATACCCCGTGAAACCTCCTATCATCATTCCTTCCCGCGCCCTTCCACATATGTCCAGCCACCGACACCCACCTATGTGACTCCCCCACCGCCACCGCCACCACCTCCTCCGCCACCTCCTCCTCCACCACCACCTCCTCCCCCATCTTATCCAGTTCCTCCTGTTCCCACTTACCCAGTACCACCAAAGCCACCTATCATCGTGCGCCCAAGCTACCCGACTGCTCCCCCACCAGTCGAAGGATATCCTGTGCCGATCGTTAAACCGCCGTCCGTTCCTGTTCCTGTCGATTCGTACGCCGGAACGCCTTTGCCGGCTCCAATCGTGACGCCTGGCGGATCGATCACGAACGGACTACGCTGCATAGGAGGAAAATGGTCAGAATGTTGCTTTGTGCAGTGTGATTGACAATTTTCTTCAATAAATTGAAAATTTGTCTGCATTCATACATTGCAATACGCTTCTGACAGTAACGCTGCTTGCTTTCGCTCACATTATTGCATTCAATTTTGCTTTCTGAATTCCGACTGTAAACTACGATGTGTTGCTGTCATTGGCGATGCCTGGTATGACTGCTAGTAATTTTTGGTCAAAAAATATCTAAAAATCAATCTCTTAAGCTATAATTCTTTAAGCTTTTCGGAAGAATCCAAAGACATTTAACACGTCGTAATTTACAATAGGAATAGCCAATGGAGGGTTCCACTAGGTAAGGTCGGATGAAGAAGGACAAATCTACCTATAGATGAAAGACGGGCGGACTCCCGGGAATACGGACCGACACACAATTCGCAGCAAAGAATAAGCTCCCGGCGATCTTGCTCAGCCGCTGTCGCCGCTGCCCGCCCACCCCCTCGCCGTCTGGCTCTAGCCGCTTAGCAGAGAAAGCGTTAGCGTTGATGAGGTCAGTACCGATGACACACGCCTAACGCGCAAATCAATGAGCAAAAGAGAGCCCCATTCCTCGGTTTTTACGGTTGATGGTTTTTCCATCATTCCTGCATCACTGGCCACCTAAACCTTGATTTTTAGTTAGCTGTCTTTTCATCGTAAACTCCGCCTTTAAGTGTAAGCGGGTCGCGAAACTGAGAAGAGATAAAAATGAGGTTTGGATGGCATTTAAAGCACTGACGGTGATTCCCTTTCACGGGTTTCGCCTTGGCGCATTAAATTTCTCGGACAGATGGAGGTTCAAGCAAATATTCAGGGGTACCTTAAGTGGAAATGGGCAGAATAATGATAGCACCCATGGATGAAGACCCTGTCACAGTGTACGGCAACTGTGAACATGGTCATTCTTTCTCACGGCGTTTACATTCGACGAACTTGCAGCGAGGATCGGCTGCCAAAAAATCATGTTAA